CTCGGTGTCCTCATCTGTGTAATGGGGATAAAGGTGGCACCTACCTCATGGGGACGTGGAGCAGTGAGTGAGTCAGGGTGTGTGGAGCAGGTAGAATGGTGCTTGGTACAAGCAAAGCGGTCCATCAGTGTTTTCTATTATAATTATTGTGGGACAGCTCAAATTAGAGCTAGTTGAGGGGAATTCCCCAGCGGTTCAGTGGTTAGGACTCGGCGCTTTCACTGTTGGGGCCTCGGTTTGATCCCTGATCTGGGAACTGAGATCCCACAAGCTGAGCGGCATGGCCGAAAAAAAAGAGAGAGAGAGAGGCAGATGAGGTGAATGAGGACATTTACCCCATATAGCTGGGCATCTCTATTCGAGCATGCCTAGAGCTTCAGTTTCATTTGTCTATTCTTTATTTCCAGGCAAAGGAAACCAACAGTAAACAGAAAGAATTTGAAGAAACTGCAAAGAAAGTCCGCTGTGCCATTGAGCAGCTAGCTGCCTCGGAGTGACGCCATCCCCACCGTCACTGCCCCGCAGGGACACAGACACACCCTTTCCAAGGCACAGCCCTCAGCATGACCAGCTTTCCTCTGGGGCCTCTTAACTGTGCCTTAGGAAAGGAGAACATCAGCATTTTGAAATTAGAATATTCACCTGTATTTTGGGGTTTTTTCCTGAAGGCGGTGCCGGGGGCTGTTTCTGTTGTACAGCTGGTGCTAAGCACAGTGATGGATTCTCTTTTTCTCTTGGGTAGTGTTTGCTTTACTGATTCCCGGACTTAGGGTGAGGGGAGAAGTTTGTCCACGTGGGTAGAGCCCTTTTACAGTGACCTGTCTGGGCTTCACACTGACGACTGGCTGTCCAGCTGAGATGCGATGTGTGAATGTGATCATTGGTCCATTGTGACTGGACAAACAGGATTAAGAATGCCATTTTAAATTTCATTTGCATAATAATCTCCATTTATCGTGTGCACTTCTCATGTTCCAGGTGCTCTGTATTATCTCACGTTGACGTCTGCAGGTCCTGTGACCATACCTTTTTACCCCATCAGGTCTGTGGTGTCTCAGCAGCTCCCTTCCTCCCAGGTGGATTGTACAGACCCATCCCTGCCACGCCTCTGAAAGTGCCCTGTGTGTGAGGTGTTCCTCGCCATCCCATCTTGTGATTTTCAGGTTTACAAGGGGGAGCTATGGGATTAGACCCTAGACTCTGCCTCTGGACTTGATCTGTGTAAGAGCCCTTTCCATGACTGTAGCATGAGCGGCTGGGGGTGGAGGGGATGCAGAAGGACTGATGTCTGAGAGTAGAGCTGGCCTCCTGCTTTTGAGGGCAGCTGAAGGTACTTCTTCACCTCCAGTGGCACATGGAAAGTTTGCAACATTTCTCTATAGTAGACGAGGAGAAGGTCGTCCTTTGTGCCAGACAAGGAACTTTCCAGAAGCCTGGCTCACTGCTTCTTCCTCTTTAGTTAGCAGGGCACACAGAGGGGATTCTTCCTGGGAAGTTTTGCTCTGGACCAGCTGTCATCCATGGACACAGCAGGCAGGGGTGGGATGAAAAATCCAAGGAAGGCGTTCCTGTTCTTAATATTTCTAGTACTCTTCACATAGCTACTTCCCGTTAGTGATGTGGGTTAGGAAGCTGATAATTCCACTGCCTCTCTCGTGAATCTTCCTAAAGGAATAAATTAATTTAAAAAGTGGATTGGAAAACCTCTTTGGGAGAAACTTCTTAAAAACATAGATGAGTCGTTCATGTCGTCTGCAGTCTTGCAAGATCACAAATTCAGTGATACTTGAGTTTCAGCACCAGCACGGACTAAGCCGAGGGTTGGAGCAGTTGTAAGAAAGGCATGTGGGACACCCACTCCGGGCCCTAACTGTGCCCTCCAGCGGCGTGCTTGCCTTGTGGGCTTGGGACTGGCGCCTGTTGAATCGGAGCTGCAGTTTCCTCACCAGTGATGTGGGGATCCTAGAACCCTGTTGCCTCAGCTGGCTTTTTTTATTGTAGCAACATGGTTTTCATTTGAGGAGGAGAGGAATTGAGACAAAGCCCTCAGCCCCTCTGCACAGCATTCTGCAATGTTGTTTTCTTTTTTTTGTTTGTTTGAATTATTATTTCACAGAACAGGACAAACTACAATTAAAAGTAAGCACAAAGCCTTTCTTAGTCACTGGGGGCACCAATGTGAATTTTAGATGGATTTGGAGACAAAGTAAAGTAGCAGGAAATACCTAGCAGCAACTGTCACTTACGAAATCGCTGCACAGTTAGCCAGCCCTGGTGAGGCGGAGGGCGCACACTGGCTGCTCCTCCCCAAGAACAGTGCAGTGGCCTGAATCCCTTCTAAATGACTTGGCTCAGAGCTGTGGAGACTTGGTGGGCTGCTGCAGGCGATCTGTCAGCCCTGAATGGCTGTGTCTCCATTGCTCCACATCTGTGCCACATTCTCCACATCACCACCTCCTCACGGGTACCCTGCTCTCCTCCCCGAGGCCGGCTCACGCAGGGCTGAGGCCTGATGTTAAGATGATAGATTTGATTTCATCCTCCTTCCCGAAGTTAAGCTGCAGGGTAGATTGTTACTGTCCTACTGGAAACCTCTGGGGGTCATCTTGGTAGTTGCCAAGAATAGAAACTATTTCATTTCAAACACTGCAGACCCTACTGGGCTTTTAAAATATTGTTGGCTTTTGGTGGTGGTCCCTTCTTAGCCTGCCAACTGATCCTTCCCGCCCCAGCGGTTGCAGGGGAGGGATGAGTCCTCGCAGAGAGACAGAGCCAGCCTTGGGCTCCTCTGCAAGAGCCACTTGAACCCAGAACCATTTGTTTGTGTCATCTGGACTCATTCCATGTATAAACCGGCTATGAAAAATGCACCTCAGACTTAGGTTTTTCTGCCACATCTCAGTCAGAGAGTAAAATGAATTTTTCCCTCCAAGTTTGGAGAATATTGCAGAGGTTTTTGTTATGGGGAAAAAAGCACTCCCGCCTTTATATTCATCTCAGCTGCTTATTTTTGATATTTGTGCCAATCTGTAAATGGATACTTCACTTTAATAACTGGTCCTTACAAACTGGCTTTGTAGAGAAGCTGAGAAAATGTTTTTGTGCTCGGTTTCCTTTGCACAGTGGGTATTGCTGCAGTTCTCGGCTTTGTTGGGCTGTGCTGTGGAGCAAGACAAAGCTGGGGCCGACCCCTCAGACCATCTTACACATTTCCTCTTCTAGAAACTTTTGTTCTAAAAACCATATTTATTGCTGGACCTTAATGGCTGCCAGCGTCAGGAAGTTTCCTAGACATCTATTAATGAAGTCTAAGACCCTTGCTAAGGGCAACAGCCTCAACCTTCTCTCGAATATGTGTCTGCCTCTCAGGTTCTCCACGTTGGAGGGAGTCTGGAAGGGTTGTAACTGGTGGTTAATGGTGTCAGGTGTGACATGGTCAGAGCCTGTGGGCAGCCTGGGGAATGGGGATCTTCCATTCTCAGCTCTGGGAAAGATGGAGCGCCAGCCAGCCAGCCATTGGCTGCAGGTTGGCACTCCCTTGGGATGCTGACCATTCTTTGCAGGTTGTACTCACTTAAAAAGAAATAACAATTGCCAGTAAAGTCTAGTGTGATCTTACCCGCATTTTTTAGATGCAGAAATGGAGATTTGTAAAGAGGTGAAATAGCTTGTCCAAGATCATACAACTAGTAAGCATTCAGGTTGGAATTTGAATCCAGGCTGTCTGTCCCCAAAGCTGGGCCCTCACTGTCTAATGACAGTGCCCAGCCTTGAGGGGGTGCAGCGGGGGATGGCTTTTGGCAACAGCCTGACCCCAGGCGGCTAGTGCTGTAAACCGTCCCCATTCCGTTTTTCAGACAGCTTTGCCACAAAGGCCCTCATGTAAACTGACACCTGCCTGCTGAGGCTTCCATGGATCCTCACCGTACAAGTTTTAACTTTTTATTTGGAACTAAGTTTCACAGAAAGTCGTAACGCTAGAACAGGGTTTCTGTGTACTCTTCGCCCAACCTCTCCTGTCATAACTACAGTACAGCGTCTGGAGTCGCTTCCAGCATCTAAGGCCTGAGTTGAGAGGAGGTGAGCGGTACAGCCCAGCGAGCTCTGAGCCAGACTTACCATCGCCAGGGAGTTCCTGTCTCGCCCTGGGTGAATCTAGCTTTTGAAGCAAAGAGCCAACTGAGCTGTAGGTTTTCTCTCCACTGGCCCAGCCTACAGCATTTGAGCCGGCTTTCAGCTGGCCGGGACCAAACTGGGGCCTAGGTTTCTGTGGCGGTTTTCCACCTGATCTCCAAGGTGGTGACGTTTGTCCATCTGTCCGCTCAGACACTTGAGCACCTGTTGTTCGCCAGGTGCTATGTCCAGGGCTTGAAGCCTCCTGCAGTGAGCTCACGGGTTCCTTGTTCTCTGAATGGTGGGAAGATACAGGCCACCTGGTAGCCATATGAGTGTGTCCGTGGGAGCACCAAGAAGATGACAAGGAACTCTCAGAGCATCCTGCTTGTCAGGAACGAGGAGGAGGCTGCCAGATGGATGAGGAAGGGAAAGATGTGCCAGGCAGAGGGGACGGGAGGGTCCATTCTGGGGACAGCAGGTGCATTCTGTGATGAGGGGGAGGGGTGGCTTGCTCCCGTTTCCCTCTTAGCAAAGCCTGTCAAGGCGGCCACGGTGAGCCCTTCATAGGCCTGTGAGTCCTGGGGGATGAGTGTGACCAGCCATGCGGCTGCCGCCCTGCACATCAGTGCTTCCCACCTGTGACCCCAATCATTCAAGAACCCTTTAGAAGGGTTGGTTTTGACCAGAAGAGTCTACCAGGATGAATTCGCTTCATAATGCACCCTGAGTGAAGGAGTTGACCTGTCGGGAAGGGTGACTTAGGAAAGTTCATTTTCTGTTGGAGGATGTTTGCCAAATGTGGTGAGATTAGTCGTAGTATAGCTGGTGCTGAGCTGCTCTCACAGTAATTTCGCCAGTGGTTTCAGCTGTTCCCCGGTCCTGCGATGGAGGCCATTTATGGCGTCGTCGGCCTGGAGCAGGAAGCCTGTCACTGGACTCAGGCATCCTGTTCTTTCAGCTTCGGTGAGTTAGTTCGGTGTAAGTTTAAAGGAAAGAGGCTTGGCTGCAGCCCTGTTTTGTCACATGTAATTGGGATTTCTTCCATCAAAGATCACGCCTGCCCCTGATTTTGGTGGTAGTGGTCTGATGCTGGCTTTGAAGAGGCCCCGACAGCCTGGTGACAGGCTTGGTGCTCACAAGTTCTGGATTGCAATTTGATGAAAGGAGAATGAATAATGAAAAATAATGGGTCATTCTAAGCGGTACCTTTTCACTGGGCTACGGTATAATTTGGATCCATCTCAAGAGAAGTAGATTGGTGGAATTCATCCAAGTAGCCTCTCAAGGACCAGTACCCACTGTCTGGGGACAATGCAATCAGTGGCTCTGACTTACACATCTAGGGTTTAAAACCCTGAACCAGGGCTTTAAAGCAATAGGGAGTAGACTGCTCACCTGGCCATCTACACTGCAACATGAGCAGGATACATGTCTGCTCCTCTACAGAGACGTGGGGCTCTGGAGGCACAGTGGCCTCTAACAGCACTTGTCGCTGGCCCTGACAGCTGAATCCTGCCCTGTTTAAGTTTTATGGGGTGCAAAGGAGACCCTTTCAAACAAGCTCAGGCGGAGAGGCAGGGGCACTGGGAGGAAGCGTGTGGAGCGTGCAGCCACAGGGTTCCTCTAGTTCTCCCTAAACACAGTCACGATTGTAGCTTAAACACACACAGAAGCAGTGTCCATCTCTGTCATATTGTGAGGTGTGTGTTAGGGTCATTACCTGCTTTTCCAGCTCCACCCCACTCTCCCCTCCTCCCCACTCCCACCACCACCTGCCGCCCTGCCTTTGTAGATGGCTGCTACTCCCCGAGCACCTGCTTTTCTCTGTCTGCCTCCTGGATTCTTTCACCTTCCAGGCCCACTACCCCCTGAGAGAGGAGGGCCCCTGGCTGGCACCCAGCTTCCGGAGCAGGGGCTGGGGGAGGGCTGTCAGGAAAGAGGGTACTGAGACCGCCACAGCTAGGGTCACTCCCACCCCAACCCCGCCGCGTGCCCCAAGCCTGTCTTGGGTGTGGCGTGAGGACGACGCGTGGCCTGCTTGGTACCACACTGTTCCATGCCTCTCTGTCTGAATGGAAGTATGGTTTCAGTAACTGCTAGGACCGCTTTCACTTCCTGATTATATTCCTCAAACCTAGAAGAGCCTGGTAGAGAAAAGGGGGCTGAGAAAACCAAACACTTGGAAATGAGAGCCCTGGGATGACCCCAAGTCGAGAAGCTGCTCGTCTGAGAAGTTTCACCCTCAGTGAGGCCTCTGACCCCCGTCTCTGCCCTGCATCAGGGGAGGGAGACAGCAATGCACAGCCCAGGGACCCGGAGAGGAGGCCCTCCCGTCTCCCAAGATTGAACCCCAGAGAGCCTCACTGTGACAGCCCCGGCCTGCCCGTCCCACACATGTCACAGGCCTGGTGGGGGCCCCTCTGCCTGCCACCCCACTAGCACCTGACACCTGTCCTGGGAGAAGCTTCGTTTATGTTTGTGCGTGAGTGATGGACAGGCAGAGGCTGGCCTTGCCTCACTCGGCATTTGTAATTGGAGCTAAAAGGAAGCAAGACTCCTTCCTTCTGTAGCCCCTCACCAGCCCACCCAGTTCATCAGATCCCTCTGGTGCTTGGTCCTGGAGACTGATGAAGACCAGGACGCAGGGCCAACCAGCAGCCGAGTGCCCCAGTGTGTGTGTGCGCGGGGTGGTGGCGGGCTGCCTCCCACCATTCAGGCCGCCTGCTGAGCCCCCGCGCGGGCCATTTCAGGCCCCACCCTCCCTCCTCAGCCGGCCATCTGGGCGCTGAAGAACCGGAGGGTCAGAGAAATTAAGAAATTTGCCCAGGGACCCACAGCCAGCAGCCAGCTCGCTGGGGATGCTGGCGTTTGAACACAGCTCAGGGGCGAGCTGGGCAGGCTATCACGCGATCACCGACAGGTGGGAGTTCCCGACGAACTGGAGGGGCACTGCACCCAGAAGAGCCCCGGGAGTGCCCGCCTGCCGCTCGGCTCCCCACTCCCCGCTCCCAGCGCCCCCTCCCCGGCCCTGCTCACCAAGTGCCCCCCAGCCCTTCTCCCTGGCCCTACTACCCCAGGTTCCAGAACGCCCTCTCCCCCCACTTTTGGCTCTCTCCACCCCCTAAGTGCCAGCTTCCCGTGCTCCCCCTCACCCTCTGGCTCCCTCTTCTCCCCCATACCCGGCTCCGCTCCGGTCCCTGCACCCCCGACCCGCAAGGCCCGGCTGGGCGCGCTGCTCAGCTTTGCACTGCTGGTGCCGCCGTGGCCAGCGACCAGTACCTCCTGCAGGTGGCGGACGCAGGCAACCACAGCGGTCACCCTCCCACCCGAGGCTCTGGCGCATCTGCGAAGGTACCGTACCGGCTGCCCCTCCCCCGCGTGACCCCTTCCCCTCAGACCCAGGGGCCACATCCCCTCCTTCCAGAGCAGCTCTGAGAGGCTGCCCCATCCCCTGCCTGTCTGCCCACAAGGGGGTCTCTTGGGCACACCTTTCCCCCAACTGTCTTGGTGACAGTCTGGCCGGAGGAGGAAGGGACTCTGGCTCAGGGCCTAGCCAAGGGTGGGAAGTGAAAAGGGGGGCACTGGGTGGCCCCATAAGGACCCCAAGAGCCTTCCAGAGCAGGAGCCCTTGACAGTCCCTTGGCCTCACCCTTTGGGGGCCTGTCTTGCGTTAGAAGTGATGGCACATCACTTGGTGGATGGCAGGACACTGCTGGGTGACCTGGGACCTTGTCCCTCAACCTCCAAGTTCTGATCTGTCAGATGGGGAGGAAATGATGCCTCTCTGGATGCAGGGCTCGGGGTGGGAGGAATTAGGGAGGGGAGACACGGGCAGGCCCAGCACCCAGGGGTGCTCAGCTGCTGTTCTTGTCACTTGTCTGCAGGGGTCCTGGGGTTGAGCTGGGAGCCAGTGTGCAGGAGGGAGGCCCAGGTGTGGGGAGCTGGGGCCCTGGCAAGGCCAGGGTTCCTCATCCCAGTGACTGGGAGTTGTTTCTTTATTACCGTCCAGGGCTCGGTCTGGTCACCCCATTAGCCCCGGTCCCTGTCAGGCACAGCCAGGGCTGTGGCGCAGGGCCCCTGTTCCCATACCCCCGATGGCCTGACACACAGGGCGGAAAACCGGAGCGCCGCGTGGCTTCAGACCCGGGCAGGAGCGGGGAGGGCTTTCTTCGGCGAGGGGTGGGGAGAGGCAGTGGGCTTCCACACGCACCCCAGCTGCGGGCCTCGCCAAGCTGGGGCCAGCCTGGGGGCCTTCCCCTGCACAGGACGTGCACAGGGTGGCAGGGATGTGCGTGAGCATGAGTAAACGAGTGTGCACATGTATGTGAGCAAGGTCAGTGTGTGTGTGACACAGTGCCTTCCTCGGAGCTGCCGGGGAGGAAGGACAGTGCAGTTTATTCAGCCACCCCACAGGCAGCCTAAGGCTCCAAGGCTCTCCCGATTTGCATGTGTGTGCACGCATGTGTGCCCGTGTGTGCGAGAGTCAGAGAGCCCCTTTCTTGTGCAGGCAAAGCCTGGCTTCCACGTGTGAGCAGGCCCAAGGGAGGCCTGAGGGCAGCCTCTCTGCAGTGTTTGAAACTTTTCGACAGGCATCCACGTAGGTCTTATTTGTACATTAAATAAACAAACAAAAGGTCTTGAGCCGTCCAAACCCGTTTGGGGCCTCAACTCCAAGTGGCAGGAGAGAACCTGATGGGGCCCTGTGGCCACCTCTCGGGGCCCTCGGCTCTGGTTGGGGGTGAGAACCTGCAGGCCACCTATCTCTGAGAAGTACAGGGTGGGTCCAGCCCACCAGGTTTTGCGTTCTTTCTGCTTTTTAGGGCAGAACAGCTGCATCCCCCTGATTGACCCCTTTGCCACTGAGAGCCTGGATGCCTCCACCTTGGTGCAGCACCTCATCTGTGAGTGCTGGTGTGGCAATCATTTCCCCATCCTTCCTTAATCTCCAGGCAAGGCTCAGAACCCCCTCATCCTAGACCCACAGAACTGCTTCCAGCTGGACCCTTTGTTGCCCAGAGGACATTGCCATATGTATCTGAAAAACCCCATGACTGGCCTCAGCCCCCATGCTCTGCTATTGGCTTGTGACCACAGGCGCCCGACCCCCAGCCTGTCCTGCCCTCCCTATGCCCCTTCTTGACTCTCCTTTATGTTTCCAAATGGGTCTACCCGGTGGGCATCTCCCACCTGGTGAGTTGGGGGGCACGTCTCTGCTGCCCCAGAGAAGCCTGGGAGGTTGGGGAGGGTACTGGGAAGCCTCCCTCACCCTGGGCCTCAGGAAGGCTGTGCCAGGACAAGGGGTGGCCCCTGGGAGGGTCAGGTGGTTACTGTGGAGACATCAGAGGGAATCGAATGGCCCAGCTCCTCCTCTGGCCAAGGCCAAGACAGTCCCAAGCGTCCTACGAAGGAGGACCTCCAGGCAGACAAGGCTCTGAAGTACTCAGCTGGGCTTTCCTTGGGGGGCCGGTCCGGGTCCCCTCCTGCTCCCTGAACCCCCTCTCCCAGCAGCGCTGCGCTGAGCCCTCGTGGTGGTCCTGCCCCCGAGCCTTGTCCTTGTCGTGCGCGGCCGGATCCGTGGCCTCCTCGGCTCCCCGGCCCAGAGCCTCCCCCGGCTGCTCTTCATGGGCTGCCGCTTCTTGTTGGGGGGTGAGTCTGGGGGCTGTGAGGGCCGCAGCTCCTGGCAGTGGGGTGCTGCCTCTCCTGCTGCCGCATCCCCTACGCCCCCAACCCCGCTGCTCTGAGCCTGGGGGCCCACCCTGGCCGTTGAGCTGCAGCAGGTGGGGGCGCCCTGGGTGGCGCTGGAGACTGTGTAGGGGCAGGGATTCTGATTGTGAACCCAGAGCCAGGGACTGGGGCCGGGGAGCCCCAGGGTTGAGCTTCCAGGCGCAGGAGGAACGAGGATCTCTGAGGGGTCCCAGGAACTGCCCCGCTGGACCTGCACGAGGGGTGGCGGACCAACCCGCACCTGTTCCCTGTCCTTCCCAGATCACCCTGGTGAGGGGGCAATGCAGGCAGGGGGGTTGGCATCTGCCAGACAGGGTGAGACGGGACCTTGGAGTCCTTGGCAGTGACCCCGAGCCAGTCCCAGACTGCAACTAGTAACAGTGCATGAGCTGGCCTACATCTAGCCCACAGGCTCTGGGCCGAGCCCTCCCTCAGGGACACAGCGTTGCAGGCACTCTGGTCGCATCTTCCTGCTGAGATGTCCGAGGATTCCCCGAGCTCAGCAGGAAGCTTGTCCTGGAGTCCTCTTCACTGCCTTTCGGTGCTGTCTGCCCCAGCCAGCCACCCACCCGCTGTCCCCAGCTGCCCACGGCTGGCTGTCGCTGACCGTGGGTTGGAGGCTCCTCAGTCCTCAGTGACCCCTTCCATCCAGGACCAGCCCTGAGCCGAGTCTGGTGTCCTGGGCCAGCTCCACTGTCAGGGCTGTGGCACGAGGACCAGAACACAACGGCCTGGGGCTCCCTCCTGGGCAGGCCTGCGTCCTCCCCAGGGGCTGCTGGGCCCTTTGGGAGGCCTTGGTCAGGAGGGAGTAGGTGCCAGTTGCCAGGGGGACCGGCAGCCTGGGTGTTTGGTGTAGAGAATGAGAGCGGGAGAAATTTGTATTGAATTGGCATTGTGCTTGGGACCAAGGCACTGGCCAGTGGGCGGAGGGAGGGTCTGCAGGCAGCTGCTAGGGGGCGCTCCGCTGGCTCCGAGGGCGGGCCGGCAGTGGGCCTGGTTCCAAGAACACCCTGTCTGCTCCACTGCTCAGAGGCCAGACTGGCTGCACCTCTGCTTTCCTTGCATGGCGGGCACCCGGTGGAAATGGATCATCTGACATCACCGTCAGGAGCCCGCACAGGTGGCCCGGGTGAGGCCAGTGCTGGCAAATGCACCAGCTCTGGGGGCTCTGAGACAGGAATGTCACACCAAGGGGACCTGTGTGAGGCCAGATCACCCCAACCCTCCCCATCACCATCATCACTGCAAGAAAAGGGAGGGACACAGAGAGCTCCCGCATGACACTGGCTGGGTCCTGAGCTAGGGAGCTGGGGACGGACAGGGCCTGGGGTGATGAGTTCCACAGCCATCACCCCAGGCTCTGTCCCTTCTCTGGGTCCCAGTGAGATCCAGACCTGGCCCTGAAGGTCAGATCTGGTCAGCCTCTTGCTGTGGCTGGGCAGTGTCCCGAGGGAGCACCGTACATTCCCTACAGCGGGCACCAAGGGCAGGCCCTGACGTCAGCCTGCAGCTGTGGGACAGGGGCTGACTCTCTGGGCTGGTTCCCTCTGAGCCTGGGTGGACAGGCAGGTGTCCCAGTGCCCAGCTCGTTGCTTGCCCCTGACCCTCCAGGGTCACCAGGCACTACGTGCAAAGCCAGTCTTCTTCCTTTGACTGTGCAGAGATGCAGGGTCGGAGGAGGAGGGCATCCTCGTCTGGTGAAGGACAGGGGTTATAACAGGAGTTATAGGAAGGGGCTGAAACTCAGACCTGGGGAGGGGAGAGGGCCTCTGGAAAGAGGTACACTGAGCTAGGGCCAGGAGGGGAGGCTGGGGCCCAGTAAAATGGGGAGGGGGAGCTGTGAGGAACAGGGGACAGAAGTGCAGGTCAGGGGCCTGGCTCAGGATGTCTGATCAGAGCTCCAGAGCTCCCCGCACCCTTCCCGGCTGCCAGTACAGGTCACTGGCCATGTACATGTGTGTGTGTGTGTGTGTGTGTGTGTGTGTGTGTGTGTGTTGGGAACTCCAGGGAGTATGGGAGGGTGCTGTATATGTGGAAGCAGTTATGTGAGTAGGGACCATGTATTGGGGGTGTAGGCTGTGCTGTTTGCAAGGCGGTTTTGTGGAGTGAGGTCCTGAGGTTTGAGGACTCAATCAGAGCTTCCATTTTCCCCAAAGGCCAGTGGGCAGAAGCTTCCGAGGCTGTGTCTGCACACCCACCTTGGCCAGGGGCCCAGGCAGGGCAGGCGCCCCCAGCAGGCAGACGTGCTGAGTGGTCACTCTGCACCCCCTCCCCCAGGCGCCCTGACCCTGGCAGGGCTCAGCACCTACATCAGCTACTCACACCTGGCCTTTGCTGAGACGGCCCGCCAGGACGGCCCCCGACACGTGCAGGACATCTGCATCAGCTTTGGCTGGTCTGTGGCCCTGGCCTGGGGCTCCTGTCCCTTAGAGGCACTCAGCGGCATCCTCCTGGTCACAGAGGCTCGAGCCCTCAGCCTAAGCCAGCAGCCGGGCGCCCCCCACTCTGTGGGCGTCTGAGTCCCAGGCAGGCAGGTCATGGCAGAGGGGCTCGGTTTCCCTGTGCATCTCCTGAGATTGGGTGGTCAGAGCCCGGCCCTGAGAGGCCCTGGGAAGGAGGCTGGGAGCTCGGTTCTGAAGGCCTGGCTGGAGTCCTGGCTGGGAGGGGTGGCCTTGGGGTGAGCAGGGGGCTGAGAGCAGAGCTGAGAATCCAGACTTCTCTTGCTTGATGTTTGGGGGGCTCCTCTGCTCTGTTGTTTCTTTAGGGCCTAAGTGGTTTAGCCTCCTCTTAGAGGTGAGAAAGGTTGAGTCCCAGAAAGAAGCAGCAGCAAAGGGCCGAGGGCCGGCTTGTGGTGGTCGTGTGAGGGTGCTGCAGGCTCCTGGGTGGTCAGCGGGCCTCCTGGCCTCTTGAGGCCATGGCCTGCGCTCGCCGCTCCCTATCAGTCCTGGTGTGCCACAGCTGCCCCCGTTCCTAGGTACCTGAGTCAGGCGGAAGAGCTACCCCAGTCCTCAGGAGGGGGCAGTTCGAGAGAGAAGCAGGTATCCAGCAGACACCCCCTGTGCCAGGCGCCGTGCGGAGCGCTGCCTGCTCGTCCACTCTGCTCGTCCAGTCTCCCAATCACCCTTCACAGCAGGTCCATTCACCCATTTCATGGAAGGAAGACTTAGGCCCAGATCACCCCAGAGCAGATGGCAGAGCCCGTGCCCACGCAGGCCTCTATTCTGTCCTCTCCCCGCCCCTCCCCAGGGCAGGCGTTGCTGGGGAGGGGACTGAGGACTGGGGGGACCCCTCGGATGTGCAGGTGCAGGGGGAGCTGAGGGGGCTGGACATGCCTTTGTTCCCCCAGTTTTCAGGCCTTTGTCCCCGTCCTGGTGCCGCTGCTCCTTCTGAGGGGCCGGCGCTCCAGGACCCGATCCTGGTCTGCAGGTCCCTGGGGAATGTCTGTGATTGCCAGGGCCGTGTGGGCCCCTGAACAAGCAGGTGTGGAAGTCCTATGGGGCGGGGGAGCCATGCCAGGGTGGAGAGGGAGGGGCTTCTCAGCCAGGAGGGGCGGGGGCCACCCAGGGTGGCAGAGGCCAGAGCCCGGAGTTCTGACTGCAGGCTCCTTGAATGGAGGCACACCCAGGCCTGGTGCTCCTCTGAGGCCAGACAGACAGGAAGGTGGTCGGCCCGCCCACGCCGGTCATCATGGTCTAGGGAGGCTGAGGCTCCTCTCCTCCCATGCTGGGCAGTACCTGAAGCCCTCCTTGGCCTTTGTTTCAGGTTCAGGGCCCTCCTGAGTCCGGGGTGTGTGCTGGGGCGTCCATAGCGGCCTCTCTTGTGCCTCGGTCTTCCCCCTCCCCCGCGTCTCCCTTTATTGCTTGGGAAGTTACAGGAAGCTCTGGGGGCATCAGGGGAGTCCCACTGAGGGACGAAGAGCTCGGGGGTTAAGTGGGGCTCCCTTCCTGCTGGCGTTTTAAGCATTTAACGTTGTGTCGATTTGTCCTTAAAGAGATCCGCTCGTGCTGTGCGCGGCTAACCTTACTCGCTTAAAGCTTTCCAGAATAGACAGTACATGCCCATGGCGCACAAACAGTGCAGGGAAGCCCTGTTACCAGCTCTGTGTGTGTGTGTGTGTGTGTGTGTGTGTGTGTGTGTGTGTCCATCCAGAGACATCCTATGTGTCTGTCTGTCCATCCAGAGAGAGACATCCTGTGTGTGGTCTGTGTGTCCGTCCATCCAGAGTCGTCTTCGGCAGACGCATTGAGCTCCTTCTTATTTCTGGTCAGCACAGGCAGGGATGACTCCTGGGGCCTCATGTTGGATCCAGGGTCTGGCTTTGTGGGCAGGTCCTCTCAGCTTGGGAGGCTCTTACCTGACCTCTCCCTCCTCTCACACAGGACTTCTCGTGTGGGTTTGTTGGGGGTCGGGGTGTGGGAGAGTTTAACCCTGGGCCTCTCTGACTGCAGACAGGCTGGGGCTCCAGGCATGGACACTGGAACAGACGCACATGGGTGGCCGTGGGATCCTAGAACTCCCTGAGGGAGGGTGGAGAGAAGGGGCACTTGCCCCTCCCCTGCTTCTAGAACAGACCTGTCCATGACTCAGTGAGGCCAGCCCAGGCAAGCCTCAGTCTCTGACTGGCCAAAGTCCACAATGGGTGTTTCACGTTCACTCTAGCTCCTAGCCCAGGTCTTTTTTTTTTTTTTTAATTAATTAATTAATTAATTATTGTCTGTGTTGGGTCTTCGTTGCCACGCGCAGGCTTTCTCTAGTTGTGGCGAACGGGAGCTACTCTTCGTTGTGGTGCGCGGGCTTCTCATTGCGGTGGCTTCTTTTGTTGCGGAGCACGGGCTCTAGGCGCGCGGGCTTCAGTAGTCGTGGCTCGCTGGCTCTAGAGCGCAGGCTCGGTAGTTGTGGCCCACGGGCTTAGTTGCTCCGCGGCACGTGGGATCTTCCCAGACGAGGGCTCGAACCCGTGTTCCCTGCATTGGCAGGAAGGGTCTTGACTGCAACTTCCTGAGTAGCTCCAAGAACTCCCACGACTGCTCAGCTAAGCCTCTCCCTAATTCCTGGACCACAGAAGCTGTGAGAAGCGGTGAAGCGTTGTTGCTGTTCGGGGGTAGTCCGTTACCAAGCAATGGACAGTGACTACAGTACACGTTTTGCAGGGCAGCAGACCCCACAGAGGCTTAGGGTTGCTGGCCTTCTTCCGGTTCTCTGCATTACTGTCACCCCTCAAGCACAGGAGAGTGGTTCTGGGGCCTTGGGGAACCCCAGGAGCTGCATCTCCCAGAGCATACATAGATCTAGATTCTTCTAAGGGAAGGAGGCAGGGACTTCCCTGGTAGTCCAGTGGTTAAGACTCTGCACTTCCACTGCAGGGGGCCTGGGTTCGATCCCTGGTCAGGGAACTAAGATCCCACGTGCCGTGCAGTGTGGCAAAACGATATAAATAAATAAACAAATAATTTTTTTTAAATGAGGGAGGCAAAGAAGGAGGGTCCTCAGCTTCAGCCTCTTTGGCCCGCCAGATGCCTTCTCTCCTCGTGTCACTCACATTCACCATCATGCTTCCAGCCCAGGCCCTCTCCTGAGCACCATGCCTACGCTTCCGACCACTTCTAACTACTTGTGCACCAGAGCTAAAACAACACTCTTAAACTGAAGTCATCCTCTACCCTCACAAAGCGAGTCCTCCTCCTATGATTCCTACTAAGGGCTTTCTACAGCACTGATGTGATGGCCTGTCTCCCCTATTTAAAAAAATCCGTACACACATTCACAGATTCATATATATACATACGTATGTATATATCCCGAAAGAAATACGCAAAAATGTTAACGGTGGTTATTCTTAGGTGGTTTTTAAATATATATTTTGTCCAGGTTTTCTTGTTAACTTCAGCAGGAGGGTGGTCTTAACCACTGAGTCTGCCTAAATTAAATTACCCCAGGAGTTGCTAGAAAGGAGATCCTGTCCCAAATTATGTGCAGCAATGACATATTGTTTCATAAGCACAAAAATTTTACTGTTTAAAAAGGTAAATACAGGGGCTTCCCTGGTGGCGCAGGGGTTGAGAGTCCGCCTGCCGATGCAGGGGACACGGGTTCGTGCCCCGGTCCAGGAAGATCCCACATGCCGCGGAGCGGCTGGGCCCGTGAGCCATGGCCACTGAGCCTGCGCGTCCGGAGCCTGTGCTCCGCAACGGGAGAGACCACAGCAGTGAGAGGCCACAGCAGTGAGAGGCCCGCGTACTGCAAAAAAAAAAGGTAAATACAGATGAGATGACTGCAAGGTAAAGCCCCAGCCCCCTACTAGGCCACCCAATACCAGTGTCCATCTCTGTGTCCTCTCACGCTTCCTCCTGCAAGTCCCCAAGATGCTCTCATGAGCCATGTGGCTGCCTCCTGGGCTGTGCTGGGAGAGCCAGCATGGGGTCCCACCTGTCCTTGCATGCTTGGGCCCCTGTCCCGGACACAGGGGTACGCGAGGTTTGCTGGATGAACAGGTGGAAGGCCTCACCCCATGTGTCAGGGAAGTGAAGGGGTCCAAGGAGACCAGTGGATGACAGGGGTGTTGTTTTACTGCCTCTCTTCCCACCCACTCCCTGGGGACACCTCCACTCCCCACCTCCCTCCATCCCACCCAGGGCACAGGGTCCGTCACCCCATCCTCAGGGCCCTCAGCACGAACGCCCACTTTCCCAGCGCCAGCTTGGTGTCCTGTGCAGAGATGTCGCGGTGCCACACGGCTCGCACTGACCGCTCAGTCCAGGGGACAGCAGCACACGCACCGTGTGGCCAGTCTGGGCCACCTCGTCAGCGCTCATGGTCTGCAGGCGCTGGCACAGCTCCTCGGGCGGCAGCCCATCCACCCTCACCCTCACCATGTTCGTCTCTACGGTGGTGAGATCCACGGAGCAGACAGGGGATGCCAGTTCCTGAGCCCAGGTCCTGTGGTAAGCGGAGCCCGACCCCAGTACCCCACCACTATCCCTACCACTCCAGCCATGTCACCCCAGGAAAGGCAGAGGACAGCCCAACTGTAGTGGGAGGAAAAGAGGGAGTCTTATTCCTAACATGGGCAGGCTTGGCTCTGCTACTTTTCAGCTCCGTGACCTTGGACAAATCCGTTAACCTCTTGGGGTCTAGGTTTCCTCATCTGTAAAGTGGGGACATCGTGGGGTTTTTGTGAGGACTCAACCCAAGCTAAAGGCTACATTCTGCTGGATCCTGTAGAAAATTACTAACACCCGCTGGGTGCCCACTGGTCTAGGACCTGCACGGGTCGTGGCCTGGCAAAGCACAGGCCGCCTGGTCCCACCCCTGCTGGCTCAGCGGCTAACCTTCACCTTCTAGAGTTGGAAGGATGCACACCTGCTGGGGGTTTGGGCCCGGCTACAGGGGACCCCCAAGGCACACCCCTGGGGCCAAAGGGAAGTGGGGGGTGTCCAGGCACCTCTGGCAAACCTCTGGGCGTTCTGGTGGTCCTTCAGCAACACCTCCTCAGCATCAGTCAGTCCCACCAGGGCAGCTGCGGCCAGCACCCCCGCCTGGCACATCCCCCCACCCAGGGCTTTCTGGAGGCGCCAGGCTTCTTCAGTGAAGCCCTTGGGTCGCCCAACCAGGGCCCCCACTGGTGCGCCGAGGCCCTGGGGGAAGAGAGGAGAGTCCTGCCTGCCTGCCCATGGGTGTGCATCTCTGTCCTCGGGGCTCTGGAGGGGGCAAAAGGGACAGGGATGGGCGACACTGTGGCCTCATCAGGGGAGGGGGTTAGAGGGGCCCAGCGTGAGCAGCTGCCAACATAGGAGCTCGGGGACCCAACTCGGCCTCTTGCTGTGGGCATCTCTACCCTCCTGTTTCGGGGGCGGCCCAGCGGCTTCCCTACCTTGGAGAAACAGAGAGACACAGAATCACAGTGCTCCACGATGCGGGCAGGGGGCATGCACAGAGCCACCGCGGCATTCATCAACCGGGCCCCGTCCAGGTGAACCTGGACCCCATAGCTCTGGGCCAGCAGGTGCACCTGGGGGTGAGAGGCAGGAGGGGTCAGAGGGCCAGGCTGGGGGGAGGGGCAGAGGGAGGATGGGTCTCCAGAAGATCACTGGAGGGTCACTGGGCTTGTGTCCTTGAGGAAGCATGAGGGGTTTGAGTCAGGAGAGCTGGCTGGTGACAAGCTTGGCCATCTGGCACCCGAGCAGTCACTCTGGGCCTGGGCCTGAGGCTGTCCTCTGTGAAAGGGGGTCGAGGATAAGGGTTTTCTTTCCTTCTTTTTTTCTTTTTTTTTTTTTTTTTTGGTGGTACGCGGGCCTCTCACTGCGTGGCCCCTCCTGTTGCGGAGCACAGGCTCCGGACGCGCAGGCCCAGCAGCCATGGCTCACGGGCCCAGCCGCTCTGTGGCATGTGGGATCCTCCTGGACCGGGGCACGAACCTGCATCCCCTGCACCGGCAGGTGGACTCTCAACCACTGCGCCACCAGGGAAGCCCGAGGATAAGGGTTTTATCTCCTGTTTATGGCGGGCTCACTGTGGGCCAAGCGATGAATGCCTCATCTTACTGAAGCCTCGCCGCAACCCTATTGGAAGGATGCCCTCAGTCCCGTTTCCCAGGTGAGGAATAGGTCTGGAGGGTTAGTTAGCGCTCAAGTTCTCGCAGGGGAGAGCGGCAGAGCCCAGCCCTCGCACCCTGGCCCTAAGACCAACCAAGGTGGTGCTGCTTGGGGACGCGCCTCCCTGAGGACTGGGTCTCTGCTCTTTGGAGAAAAGCTTGGGCACTGAGGCAATAATTCCCTTTGCATCTGCGCCTAGAACCGCACCCATGTCTCCTACAGCAGTTCCGGCCACTGATGGGCACCCAGGCATGTATCAGAGGGGACTAAACCCCAGGAGAGGGGCCTGAGGGACAGAAAGCCAGCAGCTGGCTAGTGGTGGGGGCACAGTTGCGGGGCCAGGCTTGGCTGGCATAGGCACTCGATGGGGAGCACCCAGCCCCCTGAGCTGCTGTGGGCGTCCTCCAGGCAAATGAGCTCACAGACGGGGTGGGAGCGGCTCCCAAGGCTCCGTGCAACCAGCCCCTCCAGCTCAGCCAGGTCCAGGGTGCCATGGGGCAGGTCTGGGAGGGGGTGGGAGTGCGCCCCAGCGATCTGCAGGTGTGGGCGTGCAAAGGATGAGGTCCAGGGGTCCAGCAGCACCTCCTACCCCTGTCCTGTCTACTCCTCCCCAGCTCTGGGCCGTGAAGCCTTCCCCCTGTGCTGTGGACGTGGGCATAGACATCCCAGCTAAGGGTGGGGGAGGACTGAAGGCACCATGTTTGCTTGAGAGGCTGCAGTCCCTCCTCCCTAAGCGCCCAGTGCTCTGGGTTCCCACTAGGGGGCAGCAGGGTTACAAGCACAGCCAGCAAACCGACTGGCCTGAGCCGAGCCCGCCCCTGTGTGGTCAACCTGGGAATGGCTCTCCTTACTGCCTTCCCTGGAGAGGCCACCATTTCTCCCTCTGCAGGTCCCAACTTGGTGCCTGGGAGGCAGGTTCTCACCCCACGTGCTGAGCATCCTGTGTTGGCCCCGGGCGAGCGGTGCTGGGCCCTTACCTGAGCCACCCCGCCCTGCGCCTGGACGTGGAGGTGGCACTCCTGCCCAAGGAGGAGCGGGGAGCCCCGGCGCTGGCAGTGATACATCACTAAGGTAGATGGGGTGGGGGACAGCGTTGGCACCCAGTCCCATGGGGCCCATCTGTCCCCAACCAGCTCAGCCGGACTGACCCCCAAGGCCACAGCTAGCTCCCAAGTGCCTTATGCCAATTAGGAAAGAGCGCCCCTTCAAGACACCTTCCTGCCATGTGCTGGAAAACCATCCCACTAAGTCCACAAGTCTAAGATGGTGACCCTGTGGATCACTGGGCGCTGCACACCCTACACCCCTGTGCCCTGCAGCCCACCTGCAGGGGTATCTCCTGCGTGGGGAAGCCAGCCACGATGCTGCTGTTTGGGGAATAAGCAGCCCAGGGCACGGGCACCAGTCAGGCCCTAGCAGGAAACAGAGGGCACACGCACCCTGGGAATCCGGAGTATTTGATAAAGGGGCAATTTACAAAGGTGTGGCAGCATGCTGGGAAGTCACGAAGTTCAGTGCAGGACCCCCAGGCAGGAAAGGGTGAGAGGAGGGTGTGGTTACAGGTTCCAGATGGCCCAGAGCCCCACTGACATTGTCACAGCCCCCAGCACAAAAGGGAGAAGCAATGGAGGGAGGGCCTGGAGGGCAAATGGAAGTCGCCCCGCGCTCACCAGAGATGAGGTTGGCCATGGTGTTTGTGGGCACGAACAGGGTTCGCTCCACCCCGAGCAGTTCCGCAGCCGTGGCCTGAAGCTCTGAGGTGGGAAGGGATGGGGGCGTGGCGGGGGGGGGAGCAATCAACAATGGCACTTTTCAAATTCCTCTCTTTGCCGACCCCATGAGCCCTTTGTCCGGATGAGGGCATCTTGCCCAAGGCTGTGGTGAGTACCCAAGCAGGACGCCGGCCCTGGTCTGCCAGCTGCAGCCTGTGGTCTTGGTGGCTGCACATCTGGGTCCAGGGGCCCCTCAGTCGACCCTCTGTGCCCCGCCTCCTCCTGGGCCATGTTCTCCCCACACACACTGAAACCCTGTGGTTTGAACCCTCCTGTCCCACCCAGACCTCACACCTGTCTCACTTCCTTTCCCATCAGTCCCTTGCAGGTGGGGCCCTGCGGTTTCTCTGCTGACTTCCTCTCCCAGAACAGAAGGACTGGAGGAGACTCTGGGGGGATGGAGGGGGCGGGACTTCCGGCTCCGGCTTTAAAGCTCACTGTGGCTTCCCTCTGCCTGTGGCATCCAGTATGAAGCCTTTGGCGTGACATTCAAGACCGGGGGGATCTGCCTTCTGCCTCCCCTCCAGGGACAGGAATGCTCTCCTGCACACCCACTCCAGCCCCATTCCCCATCCATATCCCAGACACCTTTTGCACCACTCTGCTTCTGCTTCTGCAGTTCCCCTGCCCGGTGAGCCAGCACTCCCTTCCCTGCCCAGAGTTGGGGGTGGAGCACTTCACTCATCTTTTAAGAGGTTCCTCCACAAAGTCTCCATTTCCTGTGAGTCCCATGTCCCCACCTGCCAGTCCCCAAGGCACTCTCTGTGGATGCACGTTAACCCCAGCACCTCCCTCACCTCAGTGGGGGTGACTGTCTATGCATCAGGTGGCCTGCTGAGCAGTGGGTCAGCATCTTTGAAGTTCCAGGCAAAAGTGGGTGTCTGCTGGATGCATGATCAGCCCCATCACCACCTGACCCCACATCCAGGCCCTCAGGGCTCAAGTGGTAACCCTCAGGCTTGCCCCTGGCACAGCTGACGGTCCTACACACTCCAGCAATAGCAATGGTTCACTAAGGCAGCAACTCTCAACCCAGGGTGGTGGCACCAGTCACCATCTTGAAAACACTCCCTAGGTTTTTAGAACCCACTCCTGGGGGGCGGGGGGATGCAGCCTGTGGAGAATCCCCTTTTCTAGGTGGGTTTTCTCTTTGTCTTCATGTGGGAAGGTGGTGGGTGCAGGACAATAGCTAACGGTGCTAGAGTGAGAAGACCTGGGTTCAAGTCCTGTTTTGCCATTTATTCGGTATGGGAACTTGAGTGCCTGGCTCAGCTGCTCGGAGCCCTCCTCTGCAAGATGAGATAACACCCATCTCATCGGGCAGTGGGGCCACACTTTAATGAGCACACAAGTCACCCGGCGATCCTGTTTTAACTTGCAGATTCTGGCTCAGGAGGTCCGGTGTGGGGCCCGAGAATCTACATTTCTAACAGGCTCTCGAGTGATGCGTCAGACTGAGCCGCAAGGACGCCAAGCGCAATGCCTAGCCTGCAGCTGAGCCGCCACCCCGGGTCCCGGGCCACCTCTCCCCCCGCCAGCACCATGGACAGCGCACTGGGGTCGCCGCGAGGACCCCCGGCCCCGGCCTGCACGCCGGGCTCACCGCGGACGGTGGGGTCCTCGCCGTAGTCGTCGTCCCCCACAACCGCCTCGGCCATGGAGCGCCTCATGGCCGGCCCGGGCTTGGTAACCGTGTCGCTGCGCAGGTCCACCACGTGCGTCGGGATCCCCGCCTGGCTCCCAGATCCCCGCGCCCAGAGGGCCCCCTGCTGCTGGGTCGCAGCCCGGGCCAGTCTGCGGAGCATGGCGGGGGCAGCGCTCGGCTCCCCCGCCCCGACCTCCCCGGCGGAGGCGACCGGGAGCGGCGGAATCCGAGCAGCAGGACTTCCCGAAATTCGGCCGCGGCCGACCGTGGCTGGCGGGACGGCTCCGCGGCACGCTGGGAGTTGTAGTTCGGCCTTCGTCACGGCCGGCACCGCGCAAGTCCGGGAGAGGGCCCCCGCGGCATGCTGGGAGTTGTAGTACGACCTTCGTCGCGGTCTGCGACGCGCGAACCAGGGATGAGGGAAAGGAAGGGTTCTGCTTACCCAAGAAGAAACCGAAACCAGGCAAGTTTTTATAGAGCAGACGCTCATGTGCTTCTTACCGTGTGCCCCGCACTGTCCCAGGCACTTTACAAGTGTGAACGCAGTAAAGTCTCTAAACAGCTCTTAGGAGACAAGTACTCGTTTCATCACGTTTTACAGATGGGGAAACTGAGACACACAGAGCTAATGAACTTGGCGAGGAGCGTCCAGCTCTGAACCACTGTGTTACGTTGCCCCTAAAAACTAGCTTCCCGTTATCTACTTTTTTCAGTACAGGTTTATTGAGCACCCACTGGTGTCAGGCATCGCCTAGGTACCAGGCAGAGGGACACAAAGATGGTGCAACGCATCTGAGCGTCCGACTTCAAATGGAGGTGGAATTAGAGGGGTGCATGGAGAGCCCCCTCCTCCATACCCCCGGCCCTTGACGGGTGGGCTGCCTCCACCCAGGGCCATGCGAGGTAGTGGTAAAAGGACCCGACTGATTCAAATCCCAACTTACCAGGTGTGCGGCTTTGGACAACTCAGTTAACCCCTCCGTGCCTCAGTCTCCTTAAATGCAAAATGTGCTGTTGAGGATTTGATGACTTAAGGCTTCTCATGCTGACCCTGGTGCCTGGCTGGTAGTGAGTACTATGTATGCGTGCTTGCTCTCCTACTGCTGCTGCTCTATCATGGTTACTGGTCACAGTCCAGGGCCCTGGGCCTTCGTGCTGCTGTGGGGTGCAGCCTGACAGCCTGGACTGGGCCTCCTGCAGGGTGACCTTCCCTCACTCAGGGAGGACAGGCCTCCCTCTGAGTGCCCAGCCCCACTCAGCAGCTCCCCTTCCCAGAGTGTGGGCCACAGATGTCTCTTCCTCACGGGAGGAAGTCGGTCCTGAGGGGCTGAAGGTCACCAGAAGAGGCACCCACACCTCTGATCAGGGCACCCCTCAGCAAAGAGGACTCTCAGACACTGACCTTCATCGGACTTCTGCCATGTGTCTGCTCCGGGTTGGGTCTGGGGATAGAGGAGAGCAAAGCAGCCTGCCCTTGGAGGTCAGGTCCTCGGGATGGGGACAGGATGCTGCCTGTTGGTGCTGGGAGAAGCTGCATTGGACCTGGCTGAGGCATCAGGGCAGGCTTCCTGGAGGAAGCAGTGATTGGGCTGAGCTTTGAAGACATTAAGGTGTTATTCAGACAAAGGCAGAGGGGAGAGTGTTCTGGGCAGAGAGAACAGCATGGGCAAAGGATTGGGGTAGGAGGAGCATTGGGGTAGGAGGCAGCTGGAACGTTTGAGGCCCTGAAGGAGAAGGGAGCAGGGGTGGAGATGCGGCCCAACAACTGGAGCTCTCCACCTCTCCCCCTGTGCCTGCAGAGCCATCCCGAAAGGGTGGAAATTGCAAGTCCCCAGAGGGTCTGGGGCCCCAATGAAAGGCTCACTGTGCCCAAACCCCGCCCCCCTTCCTCCCGCCAGCGCCAGTGCCCTCCGGCCCTGACCCTCAATCTCCGGCCCTGACCCTCAATCTCCACCGAATTCCGGGCCCTTAGAAAACAAGCCCCTTATCTCAGTGTCTGGCTCCAACCCTTCTGCTGGGAAGTGGGGGGAGGGGAGCAGAGGCCTCTGTGGGAAGGAAGGGAGGGACTGGGGCAGTGATGGTGGCTCCCAGGGGAGCAGGGAGAAGGGGGCAAACAGCTGGATCCCCAGGCACCTCCCAGCCATGGCAGAACCACAGAGTGACCTTGTGTTTGCAGTCACTTCACAGTTTGCCAAGCCTTCCCACCTACAGCCTCCCAGCTAATCTTCACAGCAACCTCGCGGGAGGGGGGCTGGGCAGGGGGCTACCTGCCATTTTTGGGGGCTACCCAAGAATGCCACCAAGGTGACACAGCTGGTCACCAAACTGGGCCTTCCTCCTCCCATAGCAGAGCTGTTTCCCCAGAGAGTGGGCTGTTCCTGGGGAAGGCTGGGCCCAGCAGAGATTGCTTCTGTCAGGTGGCTGCTTATCACCTCCTATCGTGTCCCAGGGCACCTGGCCACCCCCACCTCGCCTAGTGGTGGCTTCCAGTGCGGGGGGGGGGGGGGCGGGACCAGAAAGCTCAGGCTATCAGGGGAGAAGTGGGGGGGCTCTCCCTGGGCCAGTGAGGTCTGTTTCTGAGGTCTTATCAAGGGGGGAGACCCTCTGAACAAGGCTTGGTCTCAGGGGGTTGTGTAGGCACATGCACGTGTGTGAATGTGTCTATGTATGTATGTATACATGTATACGTGTATAAGTTTGCACGTGCATGTTGATATGTCCACGCATGTATGCATGTACAGGTATGCATTTACATGTGCACACACATAGGAGTATATGTAACTGTGTGTATAAGTATTTGTTATGTAAGTGTATAGGCACACCTCAGAGATGTTGCAGGTTGGGTTCCAGACCATTGCTATAAAGTGAGTATCACAATAAAGTGGGTCACACAAATTTTTTGGTTTCTCAGGGCATATAAAAGTTATGCTTACACTACACTGTAGTCTTTTAAGTGTGCAATAGCAGCTCCGTGGGAGGCGGGTGCACACTGGAGGTGGCTGGCTGCTGGGATGGCAGATGAAGAAGACCCCACCTTTGAGGAGGAAAATGAAGAAATTGGAGGAGGTGCAGAAGGTGGACAGGGTAAAAGGAAGAGACTTTTTTCTAAAGAATTACGGTGTATGGTGTATGGGTTTGGGGATGATCAGAATCCTTATACTGAGTCAGTAGATGTTCTTGAAGACCTTGTCATAGAGTTCGTCACCGAAATGACTCACAAGGCAATGTCGATTGGAAGACAAGGTCGGGTACAAGTTGAAGATATCATCTTCTTGATGCGAAAGGACCCAGGAAAGTTTGCTAGGGTTAAAGACTTGTTTACTATGAATGAAGAGCTGAAACGAGCTAGAAAAGCATTTGATGAAGCAAACTATGACTATGGATCTTGACACCTTTTGTACTTTCTGCAGCTTCATTATTTTCTGGGGAAATCATATTTAATAACTATATTTTCCACAGTAAGGTTCTGATATCTAGCCATGTGAATGAAAGATAGAGAACCACAAAGTTTTCAGTCTCTATTTTCATGTCTTCAATTTTAGAGTGATATTTGAGCCTTTAATTGCCTGCGATTATATTACCATACTTTGAATTACTTACTGGATTTTAGTGACCACATGTAAGTCAAAGTACCTTGCAAACCATTCAGTTCCTTCTGACTTTTGACCGTCTAAATGATGAATTAATATTTATGTTTTAAGGGTACTTGTGCCATTGTAGGCTGTACTGTAGCTGTTTAATATGTGAAATCTAAATGGTACCTTTGATAGCTAAGACGTGTTTCATGTATTCTAAAGTTTTTAGATTACAGTAGTCTTAAGTTATTAAAAGATAGTGAACTGGTTTGTGTTTCTTTTAAGGAGAAAATGATAGAAAATACAACCTTTTTTTAGGAGTGTTTATTTGTCTTAAGATAATTTGTTTTAATACTCTTTTCTTTAGATAACAAGAGTGATTTTTTTAATTTTAATTTTTTATTTTTTAAGAAACTAAAAGCTCCCTATGAATACTTCTGTGTTGGAAGACCTATTTGATTTAAAATCTTTGGGGCTTATACTATTTGTCAGGTTTTAAGAGAACTCATTTTCCCAGGTCAAATTAAAGCTTCTAAAAATAAGTGCTTTCAAAATTACAGACCAGTATCACTGATGAATATAGATGCAAAAATCCTCAACAAAATACTAGCAAACAGAATCCAACAACACATTAAAAGGATCATACGCCATGATCAAGTGGGATTTATCCCAGGGATGCAAGGATTCTTCAATATATGCAAATCAATCAATGTGATACACCATATTAACAAATTGAAGAAGAAAAACCATATGATCATCTCAAAAGATGCAGAAAAGGCTTTTGACAAAATTCAACACCCATTTATGATAAAAACTCTCCAGAAAGTGGGCATAGAGGGAACCTACCTCAACATAATAAAGGCCATATACGACAAACCCACAGCAAACATCATTCTCAATGGTGAAAAACTGAAAGCATTACCTCTAAGATCAGGAACACGACAAGGATGTCGACTCTCACCGCTATTATTCAACATAGTTTTGGAAGTCCTAGCCTCGGCAGTCAGAGAAGAAAAAGAAATAAAAAGACTATAAATTGGAAAAGAAGAAGTAAAACTGTCACTGTCTGCAGATGACATGATACTATACATAGAGAATCCTAAAGATGCCACCAGAAAACTACTAGAGCTAATCAATGAATTTGGTAAAGTTGCAGGATACAAAATGAATGCACAGAAATCTCTTGCATTCCTATACGCTAAAGATGAAAACACTCCCATTTACCATGGCAACAAAAAGAATAAAATACCTAGGAATAAACCTACATAGGGAGACAAAAGATCTGTATGCAGAAAACTATAAGACACTGATGAAAGACATTAAAGATGATACAAACAGATGGAGAGATATACCATGTTCTTGGATTGGAAGAATCAATATTGTGAAAATGACTATACTACCCAAAGCAATCTACAGATTCAATGCAATCCCTATCAAATTGCCAATGGCATTTTTTATGGAACTAGAACAAAAAAATCTTAAAATTTGTATGGAGACACAAAAGACCCCGAAAAGCCAAAGCAGTCTTGAGGGAAAAAAACGGAGCTGGAGGAATCAGACTCCCTGACTTCAGAGTATAATACAAAGCTACAGTAATCAAGACAGTATGGTACTGGCACAAAAACAGAAACATAGATCAATGGAACAAGATAGAAAGCCCAGAGGTAAACCCACGCACCTATGGTCAACTAATCTATGACAAAGGAGG